TTTTTATTCACAAACATGTCTGTATTTGTACAAATCGCTGCACAATCATTTAATCCTGAATTCCACAGACTCAAATTGAAAGGCATTTGTTTGTGGTTAGTAAGATATATGTATAAAATGTATGCAGTACATGGATAATTGTGTGTGCATCTATTAATCATTTGGAGTCTAATATCATCCCATAAAAATGAAGTGTCATATTATTGATTTTGAAAGTCAAGTCTTAATGTTCAGTTATTTTGGACTTTTCAGGGAGTTTCTGTTATGTTGAAGTGAAGTTTTGTGGTTATAACTGTGCTGAAGAGTAGAGCTCGTGGTTTGGTTGTAGATGATGACTGTGGTGTTTTTTTGCTTCATGCAATGAACATAGATGTGCTAATACCAGTGCAATGATAAACAGTGTTTTATTTGTTCACTGCATGTGATCTATAAGCTGCCTATTTCAACTGTAATCAGTATGATCAGTTGGTTTTGGGATTGTTGCTCTGTGAACATCTGTTGACCCGTCCTCCCCCGTCAGACAATCATAGACGACACTCACACTTGAACTCAACCTGAACTCAAGCTCCACTCTTCACCACAGTGGAAAAAAAACTGACATGAACATACTAGAATTTGCTCAATATAACTGAGCTATATAGCTAAAAAAAACAAAAAACATTGACTAAGTTCAACTAAAACTAAACTAATTTTCTAACATTATCATGTAAAACAAACATATACAAGAGAGAGAACCTTTTTACTTTCAGAGCTTTTGTCCTATTTACTTCAGTTTCTCTAGTTCCAGCAACTTAATTGTGGATTGTAGGAACTACTTTTTATTTATTCATTGATTTATTGGAGTAGTTGGGAATGTGGTAAATAGATGTTGTTCGTTTAAAGGCTGTTTCCAAAAAAAACAAAAAACAACACATTCTGTGTATATGCAAAATCACTTGTTTTATATAGATAGCAGATCCAAAAGTGCAAGATATTTTTTTTTTTTAATAAAAGTGTAATTTCTTCGTTTAATATAAGTGAGTTTGTCTTTATTGTTGCTGTGTTTTCATAAAAAAAACAAAAAACAATGAACCACAAATGAAGCACTCGTTTTAAATAAGGAAAACCTCCTTCCCGCAGTACTGACTAGACTCAGATAGATCAGGAGTTCTCAACTCTGGCCCTCGAGGCCCACTTTTCTGCAGAGTTTAGCTCCAGCCTTGATAAAAAACTCGCCTGCCTGTAATTCTCTAGTGATCCCGAAGACACTGATTAGCTTGTTCCGGTGTGTTTGACAGTATTATGATGCATCTGAATGTTCAGCTTCTGCAGATTCAGATTCAACACTGATTCCATTCAGCAGCTCAAACTCTGAGACGACATCAAGCCGAACTACAGCAGCAGCTCCTACACAAGGTTCAACATCTCTCTCACACATCAGCAGTCTTTCTCACAGACTGTTTAATCATCACATCAGATTTGTGGTCTATTGTATCACCTACACACACATTCGAGCTTCTGTGTTTAACGTATCTGATGCGCACGTTAGTAACGAAGCACTCGAAAGTAAATTATTTATCGTTTACTTTTATCTGTCAGACTCTCAGAGACGTCGTTATCATAACGCGTAGCTATGTGTTACGTCTTGTTCAGACTTGAATGACAGACTGGCACCACGAGCTTCAAACTTTCTAACCTTATCTCCACTTTATCACTTTATCCTTATCAGCAGCTGATCACAGACTTTGACTCAAGCCATGCTTTATCTGTAATCTACATCACATTCTCATTTCATTCTCTAGTGCATCATCCTTAAACATGAAAACTGTACTGTTACTGAAAAGTAACTCCATTTAATGCAAAAGAGATATCATTCTCACCCAGACAATTGTCGTGTAATGAGCAAGTATAAAACTGTGACATTACTCAAACTCTGAGAAGAAATCAAGCCAAACTACAGCAGCAGCTCCTGCACAAGGTTCATCTTCACTGTCACACACCAGCAGTCGTTCTCACAGACTGGTTTTGTCCTCACAAATGTCATCTACAAACTACAAACACAACTGGCACTTTCCTGTGTCTCAGTAATGGACTGTCGTGAAAATGACCTCAGAGGACGTCAGTATTAATATTACTGTAATATTGTTGTAGTGTTCACGTTGTTGCTCGGCCAGTTGTTTTGTACATTGTGAGTGACTGCTTTTTTAGTGTAAACTTTAAGATAATATCACACTTTATAGCTGCTGAACTATGAAGTGCCAACAGCAGCTCAGAGAACCAGCACAGCTGAACTTTTTATAAAATCCTCATCACAAGCATTCATTTTCTTAAGGATAATTATGCTAGTATTAAATGAGTCATTTATCATTTTATTTGTAGCAGTTGTTTGTCTATATTTGGTTAAACACAGTAATGCTGAATGTGTCGCTCTGTATCGTCTCTCTCTCAGTGATTGTGATTGCTGTCTGCGCTTCATTCGCTCTTCTCCTTCCTGCTCTGATTCTTTGGTTGATGATTCGTAGAAAAAGAGCCGGTGAGTTTTTAAACGGATTTAAAAGTAATGTTTTCTCGACTTTTTCAGAAATCGATTGTCATCTGCATTAGAGACTGTATTGAGTGTTTGATCGTAACTGTTCCCATGCATTATTTTTCAGCTGTCAGAAGAGCGACTGATGACTCTGTGGTGAGTTTTGTTGGTTGATCATGAGCTGTTAGTGTTCATGAGCTCCACAGAGGACTGACTCTGAAATATCACACTCTTATTACTCACATTAGATCATGACAAGTTAGTATATTTCTACTGTTTCTGCTCTAAAGCTCAGCGATAGAAATAAATAGAATGGAGCCAAACACACAATCAACACTTCCATTCATCCTACTCCTGCTGAACAATATGATTCATCTTCAATAATTTGTGTATATTTGAGAGTTACTCTGGTCATTTTCCTGTCATGTTACAGTAGGATCTGTCATCATAACATCATGTGTAATAGATTTTCACTAAAATTGCCACAAGACTCCTGTTTCACCTAAACGTTTGCAGCAGCTGTGTAAAATAATGAGCCTGCTTTACACAGTAGTGATGGATGGGCCTTTAAATGCTTGATTTGCTGTATTTTCACTGATGTTTAGGAGCAGACAGATGATGTGACTTATACTGACGTCACTGTGTACAGAAAAAATGGAGCCAAAAAGAACGAGGTGAGCAAACACTTCTTGTTCTTGATCAATGTCTACTTTCTCTCAGCATGGCCTATATCCATTTCATTATTTGCAGTTCTTCTAAATTAGTGTCTTGAATTGAGCTCAAACAACATGTTGTGATAATTGTGGGTTGAAACAGTAACTGTTATGTTGATTCAGGTTCGCTGTGATGATAAAGTGACTTACGCTTCCATCAGAGGAACAAAAGCTAAAGCTCAGGACAACTGCAGTCAACTTTATGCCTCTGTGAAGAAGAACCATCACAAATCAGACAAATAATTATACAAAACCACATAGGCAGAGGAATATTAACCTTGACACCTAATGGTTTAATTCAGAGCCATTATAAATACTATGTGATGGGTAGATTACTTACATATTGTAGTCCATTACTGATTGTAAATTACATAAAGGAAATTGTAGTTTGTAACATAATCTAATAAATTACACATTAGGTAATGTATTCTGACTAATTTTTGGATTACTTTTAGATTACTTTTGACCCAACTCATAAGAAAATCTATATTCCATTTTTTGTCTACATCATGAAGTGTATTAAACATTACATTACTCCAGTGTTTTCTGGGGTCATACAAATAAAACAAATGCCAAATCCAGCTAAATAGGTAACTCATTTGAAAATAAAC